AGCAAGAAAACACCGGACTTTAATGTAAGGCGTTAAAATAAACTTAGCGAAAGGTATACTAAGTCTATCCTAAAATTATTCTAAACTTATATTAAGTTACCCAAGTCTTTTTATAACCTAGGATCAAGGTCAAGGTCTGAAGCTTTACTTTCCTAGGTTATCGTTTACATATCTGACTACCGAGGGTTCCTTCCAACATCGCAAGCTGCATTCCGAAACCCAAACACAGGAAAGGAAAAAGGTTGTAGAGATGCTAATAAAGTAGGATTGACGATATCTGCTCGTGAGCCTCACTCAAGATCGAGAGGTTGGAGTTTGTGGGGAAGCTGTAAAATATGCGCCTCGCCATCGCCGAAAACAGGACCAAGAGATGTCGGGTGCCATGTGAAGATGGCAGCGGCGAAGATCCGAAATGAAACCATCATCAGGAACAATTCACGGCCTTGACAATTATGATTGAGTAATTCGGGGCTCTCAAGAGCCATAGGGTGACAAGTAAGTTAGACTGTAAATACTAGTTTACTCAAGTACAATTCTGTGAATCCCTTCATGCCAGAAACAAGAGGCAAAAATAAAAAATCGGGGATCAAAATGGCCCCGAATGCACAGATCAATCTCAAGCTAGGGCGGAAAAGGCAGTGGAGGATTAAGGGAGCTGCAGGACCAAGTTCCCCCGCTTTAGTTGACCTCTTCCCCGACGTCAGAGCACCAATGTCACATACGCCTTACAGAGATGGAGATAGTGATAAGCAGATTGTTCCCCTTGCAATGAGTCAATGTCCTCCAACGTCGGCAAATGTACATCCATGGTCTGAGAAACGGTAGATACAACGCCAGAAACAACTGCCAGAGTACAAACCTGAGTCGATTTTGCGTTCCCTTGGTCCAGCTAACGCTGCTAGAGGCCCTGCTAGGCCGTTCTCGCAGCCAATCCAGCCAATCTGAGGGCCTGAGTAGGTGGCGATATCGGCCATTCATCTAGACCATGATTGGCCTAGCAGGCCACCATCAGGTCTGGACAACTGCGGTGCCCCTGTAACCGTAATCCCACCTCGATTGGGCTGGGGGAGAGTCGGGGTGACAAAATATGCCCGACGCGGGAATGGATATTGTATACAAACTCAGAGCTTTACGTCCTCAATCTTTTTGGCAACACTCAGAGGAGTCACCCATCCTCAACCCCACACTAGACCTTGGGCCCCACCCCGGCCACCGGCCCTCCGATGGATGGATGAACAATTGCTGAGGTGCTCGCTGTGATATTTTCCCCCGGGCTCGCCCTCGTTTCTCTGGCCTTTTTTAGCGGGCGAAACTCAAAACACTTTTTTCTCTTCTCGCCTCCAAACACTCTCGCGATCACTTTTCTCCCCTGTCCCTCCCCTCCAGGTTTTCAATTGATCATCGACTCTTGATCTCCAAACCTCTTGCGCTTCTCGAGCCTCGTGGCTCCTCTCTAATTGCTCTTCCTCTCACCGAGCTCTTCACCTCCACATCCACAATGCTCCGAACTCGCCAGGCCGCAAAGGCCATCCGGGCCGTCGCCAATGCCCGATCCTTCACCACCACATCAGCCGTTGCCTCCGTTCACACTTCAAAGAAGGTCGCCAGTTCCAGGAATCAATCTACTGCTGCTGCGTAAGTTGTCCCTTTTTGTTCTGATGGCGGTTGCCCCGCGTCTGGTACCTGACATGGACGGGGGGCAAAATTAATTCCCACGCGCGCGACAAATAACAATTCGAGACAACAAATGCTAATATATATAATTGTAGACCTGCACGCGATATCCCCAGTCCAGGATTCAATGTCGAGAAGAACCAAAGCAATGTCCAGCCTCTGGTCAACCCCCGGAAAAACGACATGGATGAGTCGTATGTAACCTCCAAACTCAATGTGATGACATATCCTGACAAACGATTGGCAGTTTCATTGGAAAGACTGGTGGTGAAATCTTCCACGAGATGATGCTTCGACATGGTGTGAAACACATCTGTACGTCCGCCGTCCTGCATGCCGTAAATAATGCTAATTCGATATAGTTGGATACCCTGGCGGTGCCATTCTCCCCGTTTTCGATGCCATCTACAACTCAAAGCACTTCGACTTTATCCTCCCTCGCCACGAGCAAGGTGCTGGCCACATGGCCGAGGGTTATGCCCGAGCTTCTGGCAAGCCCGGTGTTGTTCTCGTCACATCTGGCCCCGGTGCTACAAATGTCATCACACCTATGCAGGATGCTCTGTCTGACGGTACCCCCATGGTTGTCTTCACCGGTCAGGTCGTGACAACTGCCATTGGTAGTGATGCTTTCCAAGAGGCCGACGTTGTCGGTATCTCTCGTGCATGCACCAAGTGGAATGTCATGGTCAAGAACGTTGCCGAACTTCCTCGACGCATCAACGAAGCTTTCGAGATCGCCACCAGCGGTCGCCCCGGTCCCGTCCTCGTCGATCTTCCCAAGGATGTCACTGCCGGTGTCCTACGGAGAGCTATCCCTACCGAGACTGCTCTGCCTTCTCTGCCTAGCGCCGCTTCCCGCGCTGCTATGGATGTGACCAAGAAGCAGCTCGAGGGTGCCCTCCAGCGTGTCGGCAACCTCGTCAACAAGGCCAAGAAGCCCATCATCTATGCTGGTCAGGGTATCATTCTTTCCGAGGGTGGTCCCGAGATCCTCAAGGAGCTCGCTGACAAGTCCTCCATCCCCGTTACGACTACTCTCCAGGGTCTAGGTGCCTACGACGAACTCGACGAGAAGTCCCTGCACATGCTTGGTATGCACGGCTCTGCTTACGCCAACATGGCCATGCAGGAAGCCGATCTTATCATCGCTCTCGGTGCCCGATTCGACGACCGTGTTACTCTGAGCATTGCCAAGTTCGCCCCCGGTGCCAAGGCCGCTGCTGCTGAGGGCCGTGGTGGTATCGTCCACTTTGAGATCATGCCCAAGAACATCAACAAGGTTGTTCAAGCAACTGAGGCCATCGAGGGTGATGTCGCCACCAACCTGAAGGAGCTTCTGCCTTTGATTGAGTCCAAGACAATGGACGACCGCAAGGAGTGGTTCAACAAGATCAACGAGTGGAAGAAGAAGTGGCCCCTGACCGACTACGAGCGTGCTGAGCGCTCTGGTCTCATTAAGCCCCAGACTCTGATTGAGGAGCTCAGCAACCTCGTTGCGGACCGCAAGGACCAGACTTATATCGCCACTGGTGTCGGTCAACATCAAATGTGGACTGCCCAGCACTTCCGATGGAGACACCCCAGATCCATGATCACCTCTGGTGGTCTTGGTACCATGGGTTACGGTCTACCCGCTGCCATTGGTGCCAAGGTTGCCCAGCCTGATGCTCTTGTTATTGACATCGACGGTGACGCTTCTTTCAACATGACCCTGAC